TCCTAGTCCGGACTTATTTTCCATATGCAAATAAGGTTTGTCGTAGCTTCGATAAAAGGTATCTTATGCTAAGTTCTTATGCATTTGTCGATAATGCAAGATGCAGAATGGAGAAGTGGAATGTGCAAAATAACTATTATACTGTATTTTGTATTCTTGAAAAGTGTATTCTTTATTTTAACACTGTGCCATTGGTATTGTGGAGCAATGGAAATTGCAAATTGTAAAACTAAAATACGTATTTTGAACTGCTGACATATGCAGTTTGCACCGTGAGCATTGAAATAATATGGTAAACGGTATTCTTCCATACTAAACACGTCGGGGATATGTGGAGTATATGATCTTCAACTATGATATTTTAGCGTTATCAAAATGTAGGTATCTGTGAAATAATCCGAATAACTGAATAAAATACCTCACCTTCTTAGTAACTGTAAATCTCTCAATAACAATAATGTTAAACCTGTCTGTATATCTATATCCCCCCGTAACTGCTCTGATAATACCCGTGTGGTGTTACGTCTGTTGCTACATGGACACAGCTCACCAAATATTTCTACGCCATCACCCACGAATGCAGGCAAAAGTTATTTTTAGTCTTTCTCTCCCTTTCCCATGGCGATTTTTGTTGACTTTTTGGTGTAGAATCGAAGAAAAGGGTTTGAAAATACATGTTCTACCAGGTTTTGGTGAATATTCATGATTTTGAGGCGGAAGGATGCAAGAGTTGAGAGGCTGGTTAGGTTGAAATGTAGGGTCCAAAATGTTTTCTTGTCTCTACTTCCAGCTTGTGTATCTCAAGTTTTCCATGGTGAACCTCATACGTGCTTTTGGGCAAGAGGTTGCCACATGTTGCTCCATCTATGGTAGAAAGCGTTCTACCCAACGAAAATTTGGGAAAGAGTAGAGCCGGTCTAAGAGACGAGAATTAACATTAAAGTCAATGGGCAAATATTTAGTGATCTGTGGCCATATACACACAACGTCACATCATACGCTTTTACAAATTACACACTGGACTTCCTCCGATAAATATGTTATATGGACACAGATCACCAAATATTCCTAGGAAAAGGGTTTGAAAATACATTTTCTGCCAGGTTTTGGTGAATATTCATAATTTTGATGCGGAAGGATACAAGAGATGGGAGGTTGGTTAGGTTCATGAAGAACCTCATACGTGCTTTTGGGCAAGTGGTTGCCACATGTTGCTCCATCTGTGGTAGAAAGCGTTCTACCTAACGAAAATTTGGGAAAAAGTTAGAGCCGGTCTAAGATACGAGAATTAACATTGGAGTCAATGGGGAAATCTTTAGTGATCTGTGTCCTGTCTGTGTGTGATAAGGCTGTCACTGATATGCCTTAGTTTTGAAAATATGAAGATTAAATTCTCAGAAAATATGAATAATATAGTTTGGCTACAGAAAAACTAAAAAAAGTTAATTAAAAAAAAAAAAATCAAAGTTTTGAAGAAAAATTGTGATTTTACTGCAAATTTCTCAATTTTCAATTTTTATTGAATTTTTAACAGTAAGTAAAATATTCTAATGCCCAATGTTGGCTTATTCAGTCTCAGAAAGCACAGATAAAGTGAACAGTATTGAAATTTCACCAAATTTTGTCTAAAGATCAGGAATATTCACAAAAAATCTTGAGATTCCCCCCATTTCGATGTAGAAATTAATATTTTCATGAGTACTAACAAAATGTCTAAAAATGCCCATATTTTCTTTGCTAATATAACTTAGATGGGATCTACATGTTTGTCAGGTTTAGAAATAGCTCCAGCTTTCCTACAGAAAATTGAAAATTGGTAACACTGAGTTAATAATGTACAGCAGATGGGTTTGTACAAAATGTTCAAAACAGGGGTTGGCTCAATTTTGCCACTATTTTGCCAACTCCTAGACCACAAGAATGCACTTCTCCAACTTCACCCGATATATTCGCACGGGTTGAGAGTACAGAAAAGCGTCTTATTAAAGTAGAATATAAAGTAGATACTATGGTCACTAAAATTGATGAATTATCTGAGTCTTTTCGTAAGATCACGTTAGCTTTAAACCGGTCACGATTGCCGTCTAGGTCCCCATCACGAGAATGAGAGCCACCTATTTGTTTTCATTGTGGTAAAAGTGGTCATTATAAACGGGATTGTCCCCTTCTTGATCCAAAACATAGTACGCCTATGTCGGGTAAAAAAGTAGGTTTCGTGAGTAGTGATAACGAGTCGTTAAACTTCACAGGATCGAGCGAGTAGGCGAACGGTCGATCCAAGAGCAACCAATGGTTTCGCCAATTAAAACTGAGTCAAACGACAAATTGACTTTCCGATGGAGTGACTGATACCGTTCCCGACGGTGTCCCGGTACTAAATACCGGTATCCACGGTTCCAAAAACTCGAGAAATACGTCGTCTATAATTAATTCAACCCTACCACCCTACTAGAAAACTTCGCTCCGAAACTTAGTACCTTATCAAATCAGTAACTGCAAACTCTTCTTTCGGTAGACGCGCCTTTGCTTTTGCGGCAGCAGAACTGGAATTCTAATGATTTTCCTATAGAACTCAAGCATCAACTGACAGTTTTAAACGGAATCTTAAAACCCATCTTTTTAGAAACGTTTTCTTTTAATTGTTAATCGCGTACTCCTTCTATCTAGTTTTTTTCTTTTAATTGGCCAGAATGTTACCAAAGAGCAGCTTCGGTTGGATTTTAGGTCATTATTATTATTGAAATGGTTCCCCGCACAGGCGCCAAGTCATGTTTTGATATTTAGTTTATTTATATATATATATATATATATATATCCGAAAATATTAGCACAACCGCCAATTTCCACTACTTTGCTACACAGTAAACGATAAAAAGATAAAAGATCTGTCCACAAAACTAATTTCAACACTAGTTTAATAACATTTTACTATATATTTTTCATAATCTGAATACGTCCATTTTTGCAGGGCACATAATTTGGGTATCGATTCATTACTTAGCGAATGGGCTTGCTATAATAGTCCGAAATATATACTGAAAAATGGATATATTAAAAATGTCAGCCAATCTACTTGATTCTGAGCGAAGTAATATGCATCTTCAGGCGATATGACTCGATAGTCTGGCAGTTTATAGTCAGTCTTCGTCAATAACATCACCCATTAACGGTCAAATTTGGATTGGCCAGTCATACAAGTGTTTAACTCAGATATACGGCATAGTCTAGTCCACTGAATATGCAAACTATTCGATAGTCTAGATGGGCTTGCCATGTGAATAAATGGCTAACCATGGTACGATATTTTCCGATCGAGACGCTCTGTTTCTCTCTTTGTCCAAGTAACCCTAAACTATGGAAGAATAACGTTGCCAGTATTATTTCATTGTTCATGGTGCAAACTGCATATGTCAGCAGTTCAAAATACGTATTTTAGTTTTACAATTTCCATTGCTCCACAATACCAATGTCACGGTGTTAAAATGCAGAATACACTTTTCAATAATACAAAATACAGTATAATAGTTATTTTGCACATAACACTTCTCCATTCTGCATTATAGACAAATGCATAATAAAACGTTGCATATCAGAACATATACCTACGGCTTGCCATGTGAATAAATGGCTAATCATGGTACGAGATTTTCCGATCGAGACGCTCTGTTTCTCTCTTTGTCAAGGATAACCCTAAACTATGGAAGAATAACTTTGCCAGTATTATTTCATTGTTCACGGTGCAAACTGCATATGTCAGCAGTTCAAAATACGTATTTTAGTTTTACAATTTCCATTGCTCCACAATACCAATGTCACGGTGTTAAAATGCAGAATACACTTTTCAATAATACAAAATACAGTATAATAGTTATTTTGCACATAACACTTCTCCATTCTGCATTCTAGACAAATGCATAATAAAACGTTGCATATCAGAACATATACCTACGACGTTCCTCATTTGCATACGGAAAAAAGTCCGGACTAGCACGGAAATTAATGAATTACGCGATCAATATACAACGTCAAAGTCAGTAGAAGGGGGCTGTACTTATATTTACAGACCTTGAAAAACAATCAATGAAATGAAGTTTAACGTCCTATAGTTCTACTCCGACTGGGCTAATGAAGACGAACATACGCCATACAGTGTGCTATGAGGGAAAATTTGCCCGGACAGGGTCTACTCTTTTATCGAATTCCAACTGCCAAAGGATCAATTACGTGCACGCCAATGTGTACACTGGGCCTCGTTTTTCGTCCCACTCGAACGACTATACAGCTGTCCTTGTCAGGCCCTCTGTCCTGCATCACTGACAAGGGGAAAGAAAAACGATTAGTCAGGTGTCACGAAACTCTATTAAATAACGGGGTAGGGGTATTTAAAGTAAAAATACCTTCCTTAATACGAAACGTATGTAAATAATTTTCTGGCACATTTACATATTTATACCTTGAAAAAACTATTTTAGTTGAAGTGAATTGAAGGGGGGGGGGGTATGAAATAAAATTGTGGGGATTATTGAAGGCTCGGATTAGCCATACAGAGCACATGGTTTCACATAAGTCATGATCATTCAGCGATTTCCTTATTGCATGCTACCTTGAATCGCCCTTATACAGTCGAAGTACGGTATGCCAGCCTGAATTAAGTCATGCATTTGTCGATAATGCAAGATGCAGAATGGAGAAGTGGAATGTGCAAAATAACTATTATACTGTATTTTGTATTCTTGAAAAGTGTATTCTTTATTTTAACACTGTGCCATTGGTATTGTGGAGCAATGGAAATTGCAAATTGTAAAACTAAAATACGTATTTTGAACTGCTGACATATGCAGTTTGCACCGTGAGCATTGAAATAATATGGTAAACGGTATTCTTCCATACTAAACACGTCGGGGATATGTGGAGAAAATGATCTTCAACTATGATATTTTAGCGTTATCAAAATGTAGGTATCTGTGAAATAATCCGAATAACTGAATAAAATACCTCACCTTCTTAGTAACTGTAAATCTCTCAATAACAATAATGTTAAACCTGTCTGTATATCTATATCCCACCGTAACTGCTCTGATAATACCCGTGTGGTGTTACGTCTGTTGCTACATGGACACAGCTCACCAAATATTTCTACGCCGTCACCCCACGAATGCAGGCAAAAGTTATTTTTAGTCTTTCTCTCCCTTTCCCTTTTTCCCCCTTTTGCATGGCGATTTTTGTTGACTTTTTGGTGTAGAATCGAAGAAAAGGGTTTGAAAATACATGTTCTACCAGGTTTTGGTGAATATTCATGATTTTGAGGCGGAAGGATGCAAGAGTTGAGAGGCTGGTTAGGTTGAAATGTAGGGTCCAAAATTGCATGTTTTTTTGTCTCTACTTCCAGCTTGTGTATCTCAAGTTTTCCATGGTGAACCTCATACGTGCTTTTGGGCAAGAGGTTGCCACATGTTGCTCCATCTATGGTAGAAAGCGTTCTACCCAACGAAAATTTGGGAAAAAGTAGAGCCGGTCTAAGAGACGAGAATTAACATTAAAGTCAATGGGCAAATATTTAGTGATCTGTGGCCATATACACACAACGTCACATCATACGCTTTTACAAATTACACACTGGACTTCCTCCGATAAATATGTTATATGGACACAGATCACCAAATATTCCTAGGAAAAGGGTTTGAAAATACATTTTCTGCCAGGTTTTGGTGAATATTCATAATTTTGATGCGGAAGGATACAAGAGTTGAGAGGTTGGTTAGGTTCATGAAGAACCTCATACGTGCTTTTGGGCAAGTGGTTGCCACATGTTGCTCCATCTGTGGTAGAAAGCGTTCTACCTAACGAAAATTTGGGAAAAAGTTAGAGTCGGTCTAAGATACGAGAATTAACATTGCAGGGGCGGATCCAGGGCTCTAGCTGGAGGGGGTTCCCAAAAAATAAGGGCACCCCATTTTCAAATAAGGGCACCCCATGCGCTAGGGGGGGGGGGGGTCTGGGGAAATTTTTTAAAATTTCAGACCATTCTAAGCCACTCTGGTGGGTTTTAGAGGCATAAAACTAGATTTATAATACAGCATTGCAACAACATTCCACATATCATGAGAAAGAAATATTGTAAGGGGAATTTCAATTTTTATTTTACTTAAAATGCAAAATACTGAACCATGAATTATTGGACTGAAAACAAAACATTAAGACCTATTATCTGACCTCAAATCGATGGGATCGACATAAAAAGGCCCTCTTTAAATAAATTCGCCATAAAGTGTGCCCTCCAAATCCAAGAGTTTGATGTGAAAATGCCCTTTGAATCCTTTTGACGTAAAAAGAATTATTGGACTGAAAACAAAACATTGAGACCTATTATCTGACCTCAAATCGATGGGATCGACATAAAAAGGCCCTCTTTAAATAAATTCGCCATAAAGTGTGCCCTCCAAATCCAAGAGTTTGATGTGAAAATGCCCTTTGAATCCTTTTGACGTAAAAATTGCACCTGCAATCCATGGTTTTGACGTTAAAATGCCCTCTGTATATCGACTTGGCTTTGAAAGTGCCCTCCTCATTCAAGCGTATCACGTTAAAATGCGCTTTTTAATTGTTTTAGTACATAAAGTGCCCCTTTTGATGTAAAAATGCCCCAGTTTATATCGATTCGGTATAAAATGTGCCCCTCAGATCCATGATTTTCACGTAACAGTGCCCTATTTTAGGCCTCAATTGCCCCTGCAATCCATGGTTTTGACTTTAAAATGCCCTCTGTATATCGACTTGGCGTTGAATGTGCCCTCCTCATTCAAGGGTATCACATTAAAATGCCCTTTTTAATCATTTAGGTACAAAAAGTGCCCCTTTGATGTAAAGATGCCCCTATTTTATATCGATTCGGCAAAAAATGTGCCCCTTAGACCCATGATTTTCACGTAACAGTGCCCTATTTTAGGCCTTAATGTGCCCTCCAAATCACTAAGCTTGAAGTGTGTAAATGCTCTTTTAATTGTACATTGATGATAGTAAATATCTAGCGACTGCTGCACAGACTACTCTCTTCACCTTAAAAATCAACAAATGCAGTAAAATTTTACACTTACCGAAAGAAACAGCTGATTTTGGCACACTGAGCGGCTGCAGCAATTTTATCTTCCTCCCTTTTCCTTTTGATACGATCGTGTCGCGGCATTTTAGATGCAAATAGGAACAAAAACTACCGAAAAATTTTCATCTTGCCGTCTAGCAAGGGGGTCGCCATATTGTATGACGTTGACGTCTTCATTCACCGCGCGGCATCGCCACTTGCCGGCCCAAATATCTGCCGGTGTATGGAAGTCCGTTCGGGAAAAAAGGGCACCGAAAAATCTCGAGGGGGTTCCGGAAGCGTCAGAAACCCCCCTGGATCCTCCCCTGCATTGGAGTCAATGGGGAAATCTTTAGTGATCTGTGTCCTGTCTGTGTGTGATAAGGCTGTCACTGATATGCCTTAGTTTTGAAAATATGAAGATTAAATTCTCAGAAAATATGAATAATGTAGTTTGGCTACAGAAAAACTAAAAAAAGTTAATTAAAAAAAAAAAAATCAAAGTTTTGAAGAAAAATTGTGATTTTACTGCAAATTTCTCAATTTTCAATTTTTATTGAATTTTTAACAGTAAGTAAAATATTCTAATGCCCAATGTTGGCTTATTCAGTCTCAGAAAGCACAGATAAAGTGAACAGTATTGAAATTTCACCAAATTTTGTCTAAAGATCAGGAATATTCACAAAAAATCTTGAGATTCCCCCCATTTCGATGTAGAAATTAATATTTTCATGAGTACTAACAAAATGTCTAAAAATGCCCATATTTTCTTTGCTAATATAACTTAGATGGGATCTACATGTTTGTCAGGTTTAGAAATAGCTCCAGCTTTCCTACAGAAAATTGAAAATTGGTAACACTGAGTTAATAATGTACAGCAGATGGGTTTGTACAAAATGTTCAAAACAGGGGTTGGCTCAATTTTGCCACTATTTTGCCCACTCCTAGACCACAAGAATGCACTTCTCCAACTTCACCCGATATATTCGCACGGGTTGAGAGTACAGAAAAGCGTCTTATTAAAGTAGAATATAAAGTAGATACTATGGTCACTAAAATTGATGAATTATCTGAGTCTTTCCGTAAGATCACGTTAGCTTTAAACCGGTCACGATTGCCGTCTAGGTCCCCATCACGAGAACGAGAGCCACCTATTTGTTTTCATTGTGGTAAACGTGGTCATTATAAACGGGATTGTCCCCTTCTTGATCCAAAACATAGTACGCCTATGTCGGGTAAAAAAGTAGGTTTCGTGAGTAGTGATAACGAGTCGTTAAACTTCACAGGATCGAGCGAGTAGGCGAACGGTCGATCCAAGAGCAACCAATGGTTTCGCCAATTAAAACTGAGTCAAACGACGAATTGACTTTCCGATGGAGTGACTGATACCGTTCCCGACGGTGTCCCGGTACTAAATACCGGTATCCACGGTTCCAAAAACTCGAGAAATACGTCGTCTAATGGGAAGGGGGGTGATGTAGATTTAGTGCAGGGAGTTGAAGAAAGGGGTACGGATTTGAACATCCCGTTTATTCGACGGGTAGGCCTACACGCAGATGCTATGTATAAAATCAAGCTAAAAGTTCAAGGACAATCAACCTCTTCTGTAATTGACACAGGGTCACAGGTCACGATACTTTCCGATCACCAGTATGATAAACTAGAGAGAAAACCTCCCAAGCTCCGTAATGTAAAACTTAATGGCGCGGGTCGGGAATTAGTTTTTCCCGGATTTATTGTTGGACCCGCTAGCGGGCCCGTATCTAGACACCATTAAGCGGGGGTCCATTACCTTTCGGTAGGGGGGCGAACATTTTGAGGAAATTTTCGGAAAGGTCATTCTGACAGACTGTTGTAATCATCATGCTATGTAGTTACCTAGGCGTCTAATAAGCATTTTAAAATAAGTATTCAAAACAAAAAAAAATCGTGATTTTTTAAATTTATTTAAAACTATTTTAGATTAGTACCAAAAAAATGGTTTATAAAGTAATGAGATACCATGGGATTATGCGCATAGTCGCCTGAATTATACCTCTTCCTGCTTAGGGAAGCGTAGTTTTTTTTTTAGGTTAATATAAGGAACGGTGTATACTTTAATGATTGTTAGCAATTTCTGAGCGGGGGGGGGGGGATGCCCCCCCCCCCCCGCGCCCCCCTGTAGATACGGGCCCGCCCGCTAGTCTAGATTTTGGGTCATTCCAAGTTCAATTAGACCAATTATATGTAGCTCCGATAGAAGATGATATGTTATTACTATTAGGTTTAGATTCTATGAGAGCGAATAAGGTACATATCGATCTAAAAACTGATAAAATGTATATCGGATTCGGAGACGATAGGTTTGATTTGTTTTGTGGGAATGTATAGTCCAGGAGCTAATGACAAAATAATATGGTCATCAGTTACAAAAGGTTTGAACACCCAAATTCGTAGCAGGTGTCCGTACGAGTAAAAATCAGTTGGTCAGATCGGGCACTGCTGGGGCGTATAGCCGCAGCAGCACCTTAAAGTAGGTCCCAGGGGGCCTAAAATTAGGTCATAAGTTACATGGCTGAAACTTTGTAGGGACAATGGTATCCATAGTCGGAGTAAATATTTCACAAATCTAACCAAAATTTCCGGGGCTTTCCCCAAGTCAGACCACGCCCAATATCGCCTCACGGGGCTAATAATATGGTCATAAGTTACATGGCTGAAACTTACCAGAAACAAAGATCCACACTTGGTAAATACAATTTTCAAAATTCTAACCAAAAATTTGGGGGCTTTCCCCAAGTCAGATCGCTCTAAAGTATGTCCGACCACACCCTAAAAATGGGGCTTTTTATATGGTCATAAGTTACATAGCTGAAACCTACCAGAAACAAAGATCCACACTTGGTAAATACAATTTTCAAAAATCTAACCAAAAATTTGGGGGCTTTCCCCAAGTCAGATCGCTCTAAAGTATGTCCGACCACACCCTAAAAATGGGACTTTTTATATGGTCATCAGTTACATGGCTGAAACTTACCAGAAACAAAGATCCATTCTTGGAAAACATATTTTTCAAAAATCTAACCAAAAATGTTGGGGCTTTCCTCAAGTCAGATCGTCCTAAAGCCCACCTGGCCACGCCCTAAAAGTGGGACTTTTTATATGGTCATTAGTTACATGGCTGAAACTTACCAGAAATATTGTTCTATGCATGAAAAATTTATTTTTCGAAAATCTAACCATAAATATGGAGGCTTTCCCCAAGTCAGACAGGCCTTAAAATTGCATCCCCACCCACCCCCTCTATATAAAGCTTATAATAATGTAATATCAATAATACATTGTTGATCCGCATCAAGATTCAAAATTATAGCACAAAAATAGAACAAATGTTTATTAGCTATGTGAAATCCTAAAATGAGCAATGGTATCAAGTGTTGTAGGAAGAGAAAGCATGTCATACCTCATTCACGACACATGTCATGAATAGATAGTTAGGACTGATGCTAAATTTATGTCTTCAAACGTTCTGTATTCCATCACAGCAACCCATTCAACAATGATTCAGAATGTTATTCAATATCTTATATCAAAGTGGGAAATTCAAACAAATATTTCGAAAGTATTTATTGGATTAATAAGTTGCTTTGGTTTGAATTCGGTAGTTTTTGCCTTTCCCGATCTTCGATGATGAATAACAACCTAATGGATTTTAAAAAATGTTAGTCGGTGATGAATTTTTGAAATTATAAAATCTATTCATAGTTTTAATACATATAACTTTAGTTATCCTTCCTCTTCATTGGTAAATATTTGTTCCACATAACATTTTAATGATTTAAAATAAGTGAGTAAGCGTGGCTGGGTGACGCAAATAGTTAACCTGTCACACTTTTATCATCATACAAGAATTGTTTGATTCGTCATCGGAGTCCTTGCTTTCTTGGTCACTATCTTCATCTATGTGAATACTCTCAACTAACACGGGAGCAACATCACCATCAAACCACTTTAATTCATACACCCCATCATCATTTAAAACCCTCCTTCTATTCTCTGGATGGAAATTGGGGAGATTATTTTTGACGCATTTATCCAGATACTACAAATATAATTCACTCTCTTGATTTTCAAAGTTAATACCTGTGAGCATGGCGGCAAAGGGCTTGTTTCTATGCCTTTAATACCAGAAAGACATCCATTTTTAGGCATCCAATAGATACTACAAACAAATCCTTCAATAACTATTTACTCCAGAAAGAATGGATTCGCTTTTACTGAGAGAAAACAAGGCTTTCTGGCCATAAACAGCCTTTTCTAATAATTTTAAAGGTCGAACATCCCCTTTCCTATTAAACGATGCAGTATGATCAAAGCCAGTGAGTGCATGGATGCTTTTACGGCTTATTGGTTTATATGCAATTATTGGCGATTGGTTGAATGCCTACTGTATCAAGAAGACTGTCTTTACCAGAAAGAATTTCAACAAATCTATCGTAATTTTTAAAAACAACCCCAGTTGATAGGTGTGGTGACACCATCATGCCAATGGGTGTTTCTTGGCTGCGCTCAGTGGATGTAAATGTCAATTCTGTTTGAGTTCCTCAATGCTATTGTAACTTAATGTATGTCCCAAACGATTAAGAATCTCAATAACCTTTTTACTGCCTGTAAGGCTTTTCACTGCAAGACCCAGTTATAGGTGTTTTGATGGCTTAGTTCTACCCCTGGTTAGAGAATAAATGGCATGCTGACTAATGGAATTAATTCTCTTGACTTTGTTTTATCCACAATTAGATTATGGACCAACTAGTAGATGTGTAAAGAAAGCGGAGACCATGTCTGGTACTGCTATTTCACCATTTGTGATATGTTGTATGGTTAAATTTTCAGGCAGTTTAATTTTCTTTGTACTGAATATTTCTCATTGGAGTAAGAAAGTGACACCCTGAACTGTATGTTCAGTTTCTCTGGCGTTGTCAGATGACTTGCGAACAGCGTCATCAACATTTAAACCTTTACTGAAGACAATATTACCACATCTTTTATTTCCACTGTCAATTGAAATATTCTCACCAAAGAATTTATATAACCAACTTCTTTTGCAAATCGCTGGGCAAAATACCTAACTCTGTATAGTTTCCGCCACCAAATTCTAATAAACATGACTGATAGTATTGCAGTAAGCTATTTTTAACAGGTAGATCTCTTGTTTTTCCAGAATAATGTCAGTCACAAAACTACATAAAGCATCAAATGCTTTGGTATGTATATTCCTAGCATCATGTCATTCACTTTTATCATATGACCTGCTTACTTCTCGTTGATATTCTATTCTGCACATTACATGATAGAATGTCTTTGCCAATGAAATCTATATCTTGGATGTACTTAAGCATATTTTCATCCTGAAGAATTGTTGCATATTCTTGAATATTTTTTTCGATTGTCGTTGTGACACAGGTTATTACTTTCTGTTTCTGACCTTGATGTTTTCTGTTTGATTTTCTGCAAAACCGACAGACCTTCTCGAACGAATCGGAACTGGATGCAGAAGTCAATGTTAAACATGATCTCATCAATTTTGGATTGGAATTTGGATTGTCATTTTCTTGTACTTCATCATTTTGTTTCTTTTGAATTTTAGATAGCTCCGTATATCTTTTACATCATTCCATATGAAATTCTGTTAACTCATATACAACTTTGGGGGGCATAATTTCAGCATACTTCAAACGTGACTTTTTACGGATTTCTAAAATTTGTTGACAGTTTTGTAGAGTATCTTTCTTAAAAACAAGAATCCGACCGACATCGGCACCATTGCCATAATGAAGACAGCACCAGCCTTCGTACGATATGATGTATACCAGAATAAAGAAGTAAGAGTGGTTGATTTTTCCAACTTGACGTATTTGTATTTTTGTATGTATTTATCTACCGTAATCATGGACATATTTGTACTGGAACTACTCTAATCTATATACATGCTTATATATATTACTGCTTGACTTTATGCCTTAATTCAGAATATTTGGAAATTTCAGTTATATTACCAATTGGATTGATTTTACCATCGTCTTTTTCAATTTCCATGTTGTAATGAGTTCTTAGGCTTCAACTTGCAAAATGAATGAAATTTGTTCCGAGTGTAAAAATTGCATACGTGTTATGTGGAAGAAAACAAAATAATTGTACTCTATGAGACACTGTAACTGAAGACTAATATACAATACATGTACACCTATAGAATATTATATTGTACAAAATATTTATATTATGAGATAAAAAGGTTCATTGTTGGTGGCACAGAGATAAACTGTTCTAATGATTACCATGGGAACTGCCAGACCCAAGTTATAAACCATACTACAACACTGTTATTTCATTTTAAATGTAAATATGTTTAGATGATTTATATAGAGAGAGTGGGTGGGGCTGCAATTTTAAGGCCGTTCTGACTTGGGGAAAGCCCCCACATTAATGGTTAGATTTTCGAAAAATACATTTTCCATGCATGGGACAATATTTCTGGTAAGTTGCAGCCATTTAACTGATGACCATATAAAAAGTCCCATTTTTAGGGCGTGGCCAGGTGGGCTTTAGGACCATCTGACTTGAGGAAAGCCCCAACATTTTTGGTTAGATTTTTAAAAAATATGTTTTCCAAGTATGGATCTTTGTTTCCAGTAAGTTTCAGCCATGTAACTTATGACCATATAAAAACCCCATTTTTAGGGTGTGGTCGGACATACTTTAGAGCGATCTGACTTGGGGAAAGCCCCCAAATTTTTGGTTAGATTTTTGAAAATTGTATTTACCAAGTGTGGATCTTTGTTTCTGGTAAGTTTCAGCCATGTAACTTATGACCATATAAAAAGCCTCATTTTTAGGGTGTGGCCGGACATACTTTAGAGCGATCTGACTTGGGGAAAGCCCCTAAATTTTTGGTTAGATTTTTGAAAATTGTATTTACCAAGTGTGGATCTTTGTTTCTGGTAAATTTCAGCCATGTAACTTATGACCATATAAAAAGTCCCATTTTTAGGGTGTGGTCAGACATACTTTAGAGCGGTCTGACTTGGGGAAAGCCCCCAAATTTTTGGTTAGATTTTTGAAAATTGTATTTACCAAGAGTGGATCTTTGTTTCTGGTAAGTTTCAGCCATGTAACTGATGACCATATTATTAGCCCCACGAGGCGATATTGGGTGTGGTCTGACTTGGGGAAAGCCCCGGAAATTTTGGTTAGATTTGTGAAATATTTACTCCGACTATGGATACCATTGTCCCTACAAAGTTTCAGCCATGTAACTTATGACTTAATTTTAGGCCCCCTGGGGCCTACTTTAAGGTGCTGCTGCGGCTATACGCCCCAGCAGTGCCCGATCTGACCAACTGATTTTTACTCGTACGGACACCTGCTACGAATTTGGGGGGTCAAACCTTTTGTAACTGATGACCATATTAGTTTGTCATTAGCTCCTGGACTAGTAGATGATCAAGTAGATCACGCCAACTTATTTGTCGCCAAGCGAATAGCTGTTCCCCCGTTATCTGTAGCACGAGTACGGTGTAATATGGATAATATTACACCGAGCAACATGTGGCAACCTCTTGCCCAAAAGCACGTATACACAAGCTGGAAGTAGAGACAACAAAACATGCAATTTTGGACCCTACATTTCAACCTAACCAACCTCTCAACTCTCGTATCCATCCGCCTGAAAATCATGAATATTCATCAAAATCTGCCAGAAAATGTATTTTCAAACCCCTTTCTTCGATTCTACACCATAAAGTCCACAAAAATCTCCATGCAAAAGGGGGTAAAATGGAAAGGGAGAGAGACTAAAAATAACGTTCGCCCTTCATTCGTGGGTGACGGCGTATTTGATGACGGCGTAGGAATATTTGGTGAGCTGTGTCCAAATGGTCGTTACACATCTACCGTAGCAATGATCTCTGTGTTAAAAGTTATAGTTGGAATGTGTTTAACCAGTTCTGTCACATATGTAATAGTGGCTGACACCAATAAGAACTAATTGATGCGGGATGGTCTTTTCACAACGAATACATTGCTACGTTTGCTGTGATTGAGTTGAATACGATAGTGATATGTGTAGTGATATGAGAAATGATTACTAGACATGGCGACAGAAAATAAACCCAGTCACTTGATAGTAAGTTAAATTGATTTAATCATAAATTTTTTTCGTACAACATACACGCGAGTCTGATCAGCTTTTGTCGAGGGGAGGGGGTAGAAATGTAAGTGGCACGGCGTTGTGGGTATGGGCAGGCTTCCTCGGAAATTTTGAAAATTAGAAGGCCAAAAACGCGCGAGTAGCCTAGTGCAATGACAAAGCAGACTGTTTATAGCCTTATTTATGTGGCTTTGGAACTGAAATTCCCACCTAAATTCGAAATTTTTACGACGTCAGGGGATATGGGGGGGGGGGGGGTGCAAAAATGACATGACCGAAAAAAAAATCCTGTTTAGATTCCTGGAAATGAATGAAAATTAGACGACCGCATACGCGTTTTCCTGCTATTTCAGTCAGTGAATACAGCAACCGGAAAGTGGTCGAATATCGACTAGGCCTATGTAAACTTAAATCAATCAGTCTGACTTGCCATTATTGCTGTCATGCACGAAAAACTTGCAGTGCCTAGAGCACTAAACACTGTTTATTACGTTGATTTTAATTTTTAACATTTAAAACCTGGGTTTATACCCCATCGGATGTTCCTCCTCCTTTCAACTTCTGCTCCGCAACCATTTATTCGATTCCAGGCATTTCTTTACGTACACTCTTCATACCTATTCAATTTATTTTATTCGCCGCTGGTGTATGACCAATAAGAAAATTAAATTGTAAAGGTGGTGTTTTGGTTATTGTCTTAGATTATAAGAGATATCCTATATTGTAGTTTCTAATAATTCATGAAGTCTATATCATTCAATTATTCAAATATTAATAACATAAATGCAATGCATAGGGTGGCGTATCTTAAAATACTATATATAGAAATATAAAGGTTTAGAAAGAAAAAAAAATCATATTAGACAGCGCTTTAACCCACTAACGGGGATCATCAGGGCTAGCTAGGATAAAATTATTTATTTCTTTCTAAAACTTCATATTTCTATATACCGGTACTTTTACCCGAGAGTAGAATCTTTTATTAAAGACGGGATCGTAATATTATTGAAAATGGGGTCCCACAAATACAATTTCAAATTTTCCATTTTTATTAAATGAAAGTCTATGACATGAGGAAAAGAAAATTAATGGAAAACCATTTTATTAAAAATAAACAGGATGGGGACGAATTTAGCATTTAAATTTAAGTCTGGTAAGAACTGGTCAATAAAATGTTATTCCATATTACGTCTTTAGATTATATTGTCAATTTTTACTTTATAATAAGAAAAAATTCTAAATTTAATATTTAAAATTTTATTTAAAGTTTAGAAACTTTCAAAACAGGATTAGTTTGTATACCCGGTTGTTTGTGTACTCTGATGCGTGCGTTTAGTTTAGTACTGCATAAAATTTATTGCACTGGTTACACACAAGAACATAAATTAATTTTTTTAGTACTACAATTCATATTGTCATTGATTCTAAACGTATAATTAGTATTAGAAAATGTGAATTTAGTATTAGGGTCATTCCACGTCAATTCGACCAGCCCCACCGTCATCGATTTTGCTCATAATTTTTTCATGGAAGTGTTGCCTTATGGAACCTCTCGATCCAAAATATTTTCCAAATTCCAAATTTGGTATCAAATCAGAGACAGGAGTTTTCGTCAAGTGTCCATGCGCGGAAATATCATATTCTGAAGCTATTTTTTAAAAACTAAACAAAAATCGATGTGTGACTGACTGGATTCGGCTGAAATATTTATTGCTGTTTAATGAGTAGGTGTCATATCAAAAATTCAAAAGGGTGTTTTGTCTCGTTTTATCGGTTTCAGAGATATCAGGTTACCACACATTTCTTGTGGCACGGCTACAGACCACAATTATCAACCGATTTCAATGAAACTTGCTATTTATAATAACTTTAATAATATCTCAGAGTAGCCAAAATTTCGACCACTTCCGGTTAGCGGTTTCCGAGATATCAGATTACCACACATTTCATGTGGCACGGCTACAGACCACGATTATCAACCGATTTCAATGAAACTTGCAGATTATAATTACTTTAATAATATCTCAAAGTAGCCACAATTTCGTCCACTTCATATACTGTAAGTTTCATGGAAATCGGTTTATAATTGTGGTCTGTAGCCGTGCCACATGAAATGTGTGGTAATCTGATATCTCGGACACCGCTAACCCGAAGTGGTCGAAATTTTGGCAACTCTGAGATATTATTAAAGTAAATATAATCTGCAAGTTTCATTGAAATCGGTTGATAAATGTGGTCTGTAGCCGTGCCACATGAAATGTGTGGTAACCTGATATCTCGGAAACCGCTAACCGGAAGTGGTCGAAATTTTGCTAACTCTGAGATATTATTAATGTTATCATTATCTGTAAGTTTCATTGAAATCGGTTGGTAATTGCGGTACGGAGACTTGCCACATGTGGCAAATAGTCTCCGGATTGTCTTACCACATGTGGCAAATAGCCCCAGCCGTTATTTTTGGTTGTCCCGGTGAACTCAGTTTGATTTCGTTTTTAGTTTTAGAGTTAGACTGCCCACTCACACTGACATCAAGACTGTGCTTTCTTTTGAGATGGGTTGACAGGTTTGTTGTGTTTCCTGTTTTATGGGATATGTCAGTGTAGCATACTCTACAAGTTGCCACATCTTTAGAGTTTTTTCTTACACCAAAATGATCCCAAACTTTAGATTTCAAATGACCAGGTGGTCGAGAAAGTACGTCGTCTGACATAATTTTACCTTCCAGTGTTTGCTTGACTACGGGTAATAATCGCTAAACACGAAAATATCCGAAGATAATGACCGGAATTATCAGCTAATGAGATCGTTTAGAATTTATATAACAATTACCGAAGCTATTGACCTAAATTAACATCCAATGAACATTCGGTACGTCACCAATTTTAAATAAATTAACTTTCGTCAGCATACGGAAATTGTTTTAAAGGGAGGTCACTCTGTTTTAGTTATGTTTTTGAGTGACATTCGTGTTTTGTTAAATAACGTAAATTAAAAGTTACGTAAAAACAAAGTTTTTTTAAGTGGACTTAATTGCTACAGGTCTTTCATTTTTTTTCATATGGTAAGGTGTACGTTGTTTTTATTTGAAATTTAATTTGCAATTGAACCGAATCGAAATTTGAACGTTGTAGATCGTGGATCGAACCGAGACGGCTAGTGTCGGTTATCGGTGCACCAAACTGAATCGTTGCAGCTCTATTCTCCTCCCAGTCTTTGGAGTATGGAAATGTTTATTCCATATTTGGGAAGGAAATTAACGCCAAGGTCAGTCTATGACGTAAAGAAATTAAAGGGTTCTTGTTCTCTATTCATCTCTTGCAAAATGTGGGCGTATCCTGCCTGGCAGCCGCTGGTTTGTTAATATTTTGTCTGTAAATTTGGCAAAACAAACCCAACGCCTAGCCTTCTTTGCCTCTTGTCATATTACAGCCATTTAATATTTCATTCTCTTCATTTTAAAAAGTACTATATCAATCAAAGCTGGCTGGAATGTGGACGTATATATATATTGCAGTGTTAGCGATGCTATTTGTTTTGATTTAGGGTGTATGGAAATTGGTACAATGTTTCTTTGGTTAATGACGCAATAATATCTTCTGTTTTGCGAGTAGCATACGAAGTAATTTTAAAACCTCAAATGAGGTATGATGTCATTAATGCGATATTGAAGAAACATATGTGGACGTATAAAAATCTCGACCTAAAACCACGTTTCTATTCATATTGGAAACAACATGAAACGCATGTCTTAACTTTTTACCCTTAATTTGAAACTCCAAATTTGTACAGTTCAAGACCATTTAATGACTAATATAATTTTACTCTTGTTCAATTTTGGTTTATATTTTAAAGAAATATACACCTGACTAATTAAAGATACTTGCGCCCCGGTGTCAACTAATGTCAACTAAACATGAACTTGACAACCTGATATATTTATACAAGATAAGGGCTTCTGATATTTCGCGGTGAATTATGGTGTTTCGCGGTGAAACCCGGTGAATCGCTTGAGTGCCGATATCATCCCGATGTAAGCATGTTGACGAAAAATGTAATTTATTTAAGTTGAATACAAGATATGTTAACCGTTGGCGAGGCAGCTACGGTCGTATTTCTAACACACTGTACATGTATAACGTGGTGCCACAATGTACGTGTATGCAAACAATGAATAACTTACAATTTTTTAAACGTATCATTTCATCTTATTGGCTGCTATCAAATCCAAACTTTAAATTATATTCGATGAGATTTTACACATAACTTCATTACTCACAGCTTCAGTTAATCTAAATCAACCATTCATAAATCAGTGCCATACATGTAAATCACTCCGCAATGCGGTTAACCGTACGTCACGTGGTCAGAAACGCGCGAAAACATGAGATGTTGGGTTCGACACGGGGACTATATATTCTTACGCTGTGTTACTTGGCGAAAAGTATTTAGCAAATCTTGACTGTCACCGGTATATGATAATAATGTATTATGACGTATTAAAATAATATGATTGGGAGGGGGTACACTGCGAAAGTCACAAAAGTGACAAATAGAACTTGCAACCGGAGTCGAAAGCGCTTTCAAATCAGACATAAGAAGCTCGTACTTACCGCAAAAATGAAATGAACGCGACACAAGTCTCCGATGTCAGAGAGTATTAGTAAAGTATAACCGCTATCAAATCCACACAAAAATCCAAGGCACTCATTTTATTTTAGAAAAGAATAACTGTAGGCTCGATAGAAGAGCCTATTCTTCATGAACCCCAAACCAATGGTAACTGTCAACTTGTATGTTGTCATTCTCGTGCAGATTTGTTTGAATAACAGAAATGTCCCGTGTATCAAGATCAAAGAATAAAATCACACGTAGCCACTCTTTGTTGTTTTTATGCGAATTCAATTAATCTAAAAGGGGCTCCGGCGCAATTTAAGGAATTATTTTTGAGCCAATATTAACCATCGCCAATTTTTTAA